CATAATGTGAACATCAGATATATGGACTTACAATCAAGAGTCACATTTCACCCCACCACCTTCACTCTCACTCCCTTCAAATTTCCTTTCTTGTAATATATTTCCATACTTCTTTCTTTCTTTCTTTCCTTTTTTTTCTTAATTTTTATATATCACTCAAATAATTTGTTTATTTAATGTTATTTTGTACATATTGCTTTTTTAATGTACTTTCGATTTGCTTGTTTGAATATGTATTATTCAAATGCTGTTATGTAAATTATTATAATGTATTTGTAATGGACTCCGATACCCACAATGGGTTGTCGATAAGTAAATAAATAAACTTTCAAACTAAACTTTCAAACAGTAAATATGATCAGTTTACGGATAATATATAAAAGGAGCACAATAATCACACAGAGCTAAGACGAAATAATTACTTCCTTATTGTTGTTTTTGGGCTTGCATGGGAAGGGGGAGGGGAGTGGGGGTGGCAATAGCAGCCCATCTAACCAAAATATAAAGAATAATAAAGGGGAGATCGACCCCCACCCTAAATACGAAGCCGTTTTTTTTTTCTCTCCAGTTTTCTTGTGTGTGTGTGTGTGTGTAGATATCGACGCTGTATACCCAACTAGCTGCTCAAAAGAAAGAAGAAAAAAAATAAGATAAAAAATATACAAAAAAAAAAACCCTAGAAAATTACTATTCTGCATTTGGAGGGGTGCATGGTGGGGGCGGTGTGTGAGGCTATTAATGATATCATTCATAGTCTCTTTTTGATCTGTGACAGTGTGGCTGTCAAAATATTTAATTGGTATTGCAATTTGGCACACATTGGCCGACAACCACACACACACACACACACACACACACACACACCCTCACACACACACGAAAGCACGCACACAAAAAAACATGCCCCCATTTTCCACATTTTTGTTTTTAAAAAATCTGTAAATTTCTATTTGTAAATATGATCTAGAATCCCTAATAAATGTTAGGCCTACATTTTTTTTTTGGGGGGGGGGGAGGGGGGAGGGCAACTGAGTCTTAATAAAATAGTATGGGTTGAGAGGCTCCATACACCCCATTGGTGACAAATCTGAGTACCCCCCCCCTCCCCCTAAATAAATGAGTTTGCAAACAAAAGCAAGCATCTATGACACAATCGTAACATTCACAAATAGTACATGGCAATTCCACAATAAGCGACACACATATATCAACTTTGCAAATCACTGAATAAATGTATAATTCATTTATTACATTCAGAATGTTACAAATGTGGACGATCATATGGTTCAAAAGCAGTTAACTTGTTATTGGTTGCACATGGTCTTTAAATGACTGAAATAATCAATATCTAGCCCACATTACATCGGAATTGCTCAAGTACACAAAGTGCACATATACATATTAATTGAATTCATACACAATTGACATTTAACCTGAATGTTAATATTTTGATTGACGTGCCTGTTCTGTATTATTTTCCGTATAACATTCAGGGTGTCCCCCAAAAATCCAGTTACTTCACATCTAATATACGCAAACTATGGATCACAATGGAAAGAGCAATCACAAAAGTTCATTCACTAGCTTTTGTTATAACACTTTTTTTGTTGCAAATTAAGGATGGTAAAAAGTAAATACCAGGCTGAATGAAGTTTTATAATTTTAGGGCGAGTTATTTCTGAATAACTGACCATAAAATCATAAAACTTCATTCAGCCAGGTATATTAAAAAAAACAATCAATGATTTTCCCATATTATACAAGAAGTGACCCCAGCCCTTTTTGTCATCCTATATTAAGCATGTACATTTATGAGATCAAAAACTGTTTTGCTAATAGTCTAGTCATAAAGGCTACAGCTCATACCAACTCGGAATTTATATTCTGAGTAATGTTGATCTATATCTTAACCATAATTTCTAAATTTATGATTATATTATTATGTAAATTGTAATTATTCCAAGAACCCTGTTATATCATATCAGGGTAGAAAAAACAAAGAAATTATCACATGAAAAGCACAGTGCTCTTAACTCCTTTCACAAGTTTTCAATTGCATGTATTTATTTGTGAGTAATTAACTATATTCAGCCCAAGGCATTTTGTCCATTCACAGGCCCAAAGAAGGGGGGGGGGGGACATATATTTGGCTTCACAGTGTCCCCCTCACTAACTCCTTTTATTATCTTCATATTTGGCATGCATGTAGAGTTCATAAAACTATACAATGTCATGGTGCCATGATACATAATAACCCTATAAATTATTGCCTAAAATATACACACAAAAATCAAGGACAGTGCTTTTATAGGAACAGCACAATCTGAATTAACAGTGACAAAATTTAAAAAAGAGATGAAACCAGCAAATGATTTATCAACAGAAACTCACTTCATTGAACCTCAATTTTTATTTACGCGGACACACAATCTCATCTCAAAATGTATGACAGACTTTTCAACATCTTATAATCAGAACTTAGACTCAATACCAAAAACAAAAACAAACAAAAAAAACAAAAAAACGTAGTAAATTCATGCATATTTTAACCCTATTGTAACTGATGGAGGGGGTTCGACCATTGATCATCAATGTTTTGCACAATAGTTATGCATTGTGCAATGGCCTTATCACACAATTTCACAAGTTGTTTTCTCAAAGTTTCAAGCAACTTTAACATGGTTTAAGACATGAACCTTTCAAACAATTTTGCCAAATAGTACATAGAATATCTGAACAAGATACATTAGTATTAAGTGATTTAGATTTTAAATATATATATATATATATATATCCTGTGAAGATGGAATACTTCAGTTGATCATGGCTACTGGCAGTTTCATGCAAGAGCAATCAATATATATACATTTTAGGATGCTTGCAAGCTGAGTTACTGAGTCCATTTTCTGCACAAAGTACAGTAGCATGGCATAACAATCAAGTTACATCAATTAATGAATTAACCCCAATGCACATGCCCATGAACGGTGAGTAGCTCAACTGAATAATATAAACATAACATTTAACACAAATCTGATTATCTAATCTTCGAGATTACAGATCTCATCTAGGATTGGCTCTAATTTCTGTACGTCGCCTTTTAAACCCAATACGAACCAGCAGCCTTGTATAGCACCACCTCAATTCCTCAACTACTCAAATCTGGCCCGGTTACTAATCCATAATGCAACATTCTGAGCAGTGTAGTCTTATGATATAGGCCCACTAATTCACTACTCAATGCATGCATACCGTAATTATTATGTTACTAAGTAGCAAAACAAGTACTTATTTTCTCACAATGTTTCAGTTTCCCTGTAATAGGGATAACACCATGTTGCACTGTTGCAGTGCTGTCAGAGGTCACATGGTGAGTTCAAAGGTCGTTTGAGGTCATATGTTAAAATTTACCTGCAAGACTCTCTTGTGGCAAGAAATATTGGAGTCATCAACAAGCTTAAAAGCTTTCTTCCAGCACAGGCACTATCCATGTGGTATTGTGCAATAAATTTACCATATCTTAATTATGAGATTCTAGCATGGGAAATGCCTCTCACACGAGACTCAACAAAGTCATTCTACTTCAGAAAAAAGTACTGAGAATGATATGCAATAAGCCCTTTAGAGCTCATACGGATGAATAGTTTCGTCAGAAACGTATCCTTAAAGTCAGTGACCTCTACAACTATTCCATTCATTTATCAGCTAGATACAGAAAGTATACCTTATGTCCTACAAAATAAAATTTATGAGAAATAATACTTTGCATTCCTATAATACTAGACAATCAAATGACTATCACTTAATACCTAAAAGCAGAACAGTATTTTCTAGCAAAACTGTATTTTTCACAGGACCCAAAATCTGAACCGATTTAGAATACTCATCAAAAAATTTCTTCTGAATTCTTATTGATTTAATCAAATATCTCGTGAACTTTATACTTATCCACGGTAGTGTTGATTATTTTAAAGTCAATATCTACATAATTTTGTATATAGTTTATATACATTCATGTTACAATGTTTATATCTATATAAATTTATAGAATTTTGCTGATTATTTTGCTAAATTTATATCATATTACCCTTGTATAAAATCTCGATAGGGGGTCTACATCTTACAAGCTATGCTTTTCAGTAGGCCCCTCCACATTTTTTCATTTTATTGGTACGTTTCAAATCTGCATATGTTATGCAGTTGATGTATTTTTTTCAATGGAAATGTTTTATTATGAAATGTACTTTGATGATTTGTGGAATATGAATATATGAATAAATAAATAAATCAAAATAAATAACTCTGCACATGTTGCTGCAATGGCAAACAAAATTTAGGATATATTCGTGCCTTCAGAGGTCACATGGTGAAGTCATAGGTCATTTCAGGTAAAACGTTTAAAGTTTACCTGTATGACTCTCATATACAATTCTCATGGATGGCAAGGGAGAACGCGATATTTCTAGTCATTTTCACAAGTGGTCGAGACACAACATCGCTAATGCCTTGTTATTAGGTAAGGTTCATTAGCATTTGAACCTTTTTATTTTTATTTTTTTTTATGGATGTTGATTATCATGAAAGTGAGACTAAAAAGGGAAAAAGTATCACAAAATCAGGCAATTGTTAGCAAATAAGAAATAGCTTTCAAGGTGGTAATTTGTTTGCAAAGATATGACATCAGCAGAATTGAAAAACAAAAGTCATAACTATCCCAAATATAGTCCAAATAATACTTTTTTGGGACACATCCAGTGCATAATGACAGCTTAGGTGACTTACCAAAAGATAAAGCTGCGGCCCACTTCGGGAAAACCGCAAAACAGCATTTTATACCGGATGTACTAATCCCCTCCTAAGTCTTTGGAAGAATTATAGAGGATCGGTATATCTGGCATATAATCCCGCTGTGCCTTATTCATGCAGCGGGCCACGGCTTCTGGTATATAATCTTCTGGTAATTCGCCTGAAGATGAAGGTGTTTGGTTGAGCATACTCAATTATTTTGCACTATGTGTCTTCCCTAAAGATTGGCACATAGTCACTGCATGTCCAAGGGAATGTGGTGCAGCAACACGCTTTTTCTTGGATGGAATTATGGCTGATGAAGATGGTCTAGAAAAGGCTTGCTTTTTCATGGCAGACTGTTTGGTTGGACGTCCCTTATTTAGTTTCCTCCTCCCTCCGAGTTTCAGTCGACGGCGTGATATGGCTGAGGGCTGAACAGGGATGCTGGGGCCAGATGACTGTAGCAGTCCACCCGAGACTCCTGCCTTCGACTTTACCTTCCTTTTAGCAAGATTTACTCCGCTATACCTGCCAAACATTCGGATTGCTGATACAAGGGCACTGTCTGTTTTTAAACGACCATATGCTCTGAGCATAGCCTTGTACGATTCTACGTAGGTGGTTGGATCTTGTTTTAGTTTTTCCTCCATGTCCACAAACATATGATGGACATCCTCCAAAATCCTGTTGTCTCTCTGTGGAGCTGAAAACAAAAAGCAAGAAAAATTACCTAGTAAGACAAAATCTCACATAACAGTTCTTTTTGGTTACATACTCACTATCAGTTAACTAGCATTTTACCCTTTCCTTCATTAATTTAAAGTGACTGGCCACTGTCAAAGAAGTATCTACAAACAACATGTAAATACAACTCAATTCTATTTTGCTTGAGTTTTGTTTCAATTATAATTTTTCTCTGTAAACATGTTAGCCCTTAAATGTTATAATAACAATGGTAAGAAATATGTCCAAAAACATATAACATACGAGGAGCACACATCGTCAACTTTTGTTGATGGCAGTATCCACTTGTTTACTACTGTAAGCAGGGAGTGCTGAAATGTGCGCCTTGGCGACATTCATTTACAAACTAGATATAAAATGGAATATGCTGAAAATGAAATAAAACTGTATTATACTTACTTGTTTGCTACATCTGTATCCAATCATTAATAGACAAGGTGTGAGTTAACAGATGGAAGAAAAATAAAAAACAAACAGAAGAATTTGTTATGTCATGAACATTAATAATCAAGATAAGAACCCCCCCCCCCCCCCTCAGGGAAAGATGTTGAATTGGCATAACCTGACCTAACATAATAGTACCACATACCCTGGATTTGTTTTTTATTCCAAAATATATACAAGAATCTCTGGAAAAAATAAAAACCAAAAGAAGTATGGTCCTCATTTTGGCTTATCTATTTTTATCATGCACTTGTTAAGGTAGGGCAAGCAGCAAATATGGAATTACTCCCGAGTGGAAAAAAAAATTGTAATTGTCAACCATATTTTTCAGTTGGCTGTTATGCCAATACAATTTTTTTTTTTTTTTTTTTTTTTGGGGGGGGGGGGGGGTGGTTGGTCTAACATGCAACATGCAAATTTTCTGAAACATGTACCATGAACATAATAATTTATAAAATGCAACTTCTATTCAATATATTTTATCATTAATAGTAATAATTAACAGCAACATACAGATTCTCTGCAACATACATCATCATGAATATTAATAACTATAACATGCAAATTAGATTCAACAACTGTTATCATGAATATTAATAACTAACAATAAAATGCAACATGTATCATCAGGGATAAACAATAATGTAAATTCTCAGGAAATCAGGTGCGGACACAGGGTTGAACAAGGACTGGGGGGGGGGGGGAGGCACAATTGGCTCCCTACTGCATCCGCACCTGTGTATCCATCCGCATGGATGTAATATGCAAATTTTCTGTAGCATGCAAATGATAGCCATTATTATGTAAACAAATTTGATTTATTCCAATGTTGTAAGATATTGAAATGCCAAGAAAAACAAAAATTAACTCTAACCACATGGAGGGGGGGGGGGGGCCCATCAACATTTTCCACGACCATTCTGACGCGCGAAATTTTTGAACGCGGCGCTCGCTGACTTTTTACTTTCAAAAAAACATTTTCACGAAAACGGGCATACACCCTGTACCGTTACGACGTTGCACAATTTAAACAAATATCCGTCAAACCAAAAACACATTGGCTAAAATTATTTTGTTTCAGCATAATTATGCTTCGAAAAGTTTCTGCAATAAATTTTGCCCCAAAACAAACAAAAACAAAAGGTCGCGAAAGAAGAAATACATAAGAAATTAATTTTGATACCAGGAATTTTTTTCAAGTATAATTTTTTGGAATGCTACAAAGAATATTTACACCAAAAATTAGAAATCTATGAGCTTTATTTAGTGATTTAGAGCAAAAAGTATGATTTCGTGCATAAATTAACATAAAATAAAAAGACATTATTTCGGAAAGACTAACTTTACATTCTTGTAGATCACATCGCACACTACTATCATGCAAATTTTCGTGGAGATTGCGTGATTGGCGGTTGAGATCTGAAGGGGGGCAAAAAATGCCCCCTCCCCCCCCTCCATGGACTCAAGTGAACAAAAAAAAAAAATGGGATGAGGGTTAAGCGTAAATGGAAAAATAGAACGATCTTATAATGCATGCAGTAAAAAATGAAAGTCATTGCTTACATTTGGTGGAGTAATGTCTATGCATTACGTTGGGCAAACTGGATGTGTAGATCTCTCTGGGCATGCAGGCTTTCTAGCCCGACTAGTTGAGGATCTTCGATTGAAGCATGGTCATCAAGATGGCTACTAGACATTGGCTCATCTACATCAGGCTCGGGCACATCCTCAGCTGAGGGCTCAGATGACTGGAGAGGGCCAAGCCATCCTGATGGCACATTGCTTGTTGCTGAAATTCAATAATTATATATCACTACCCAATTTAGAAAACATTACATTGGACAACAAATGCACTGCATACTGTCTTTAAAGTACAGTATTCTTCACAGGAGAGAACAACATCTACAATTCAGGAAGTTATTATTTGATTATTTGCTCAGGCTTGGTTTTTTCTATGTTCATTGTTAACCAAATGTAAGACATGACATGGTTGATCTCTTTCTGGTTCTTTTCAACCCTGTAAATACATCTTGTACACCCAATACTCTCTGAATATGAAAAAAAAAAACCCAAGGTGGTTCGCGAACCACAGGTCTCGCCTGATTTTGCGATCAATAAAACAAGGAATATGACCTTTTGACCCCTTGATAACCTTTGACATCATCATCTCTCTCTCTCTCTCTCTCTCTCTTGGTTGATCCCTCCACTTTCTTTGGAGATTTCTTGGGCGATTTCATCGTCTTACACTACAGTTACACTACAAAAAAATCCACATGTGGGACTAGTCTACATCTATCTACTATCTGTGAGACGTATGATAAAACGTTTTTTTATTTTAAATTTTTCATTTACATACCTGCAATGGATCAGGAAGCGTTGCTTGCGTAATGTCTTCCATGGCAGATTATGACATAAATCAACCATTAATGAAATATAACGTCAAGAATGCGAGAATAACCTGGCAAGTTCAGATCAGACGCGCTGTTCATGAAGTAGGCCTACTAGTCTTTGCTGCAGCCCGGTTTTACTCACTTATCGTGAAAATGACGGAACTACAGTGTAAAACGTAAAGTCGCGGCCGGGGGAGGTGAGCGGCAGCTGGCAACTCAGCCAGCTCGCGCTGATATGCTATCACTTGACCTGAACCAGCATCGACGCCGTCTTCTCCGAATTGTTCTCTTTCTTCCATCTCTCCTACATCCCCATCATCATCATCATCATCACTATCACTACCAGTACCACTATTGTGGAGCTGTGCTCATCAACTTCGAATTCTAATTCGAGTAAAACCTCTTCTTCGACCTCGGACATTTTGATCAGATATTTAGCGTTCGAGTGGCGTTTGTATACGTATAATGCATGCAGGCGAGAGTTGTGTGAGAGCGCACTCTCGCTCATGTGCCCAGCAACCTCATACGTCACAAATCGTACGTCACAATAGCGGGCCGATCAAGGGCGGAATAATCGGGTAGTAATTTCACCACTTTTAAAAGCAGATAAGTCAAATCTGTAACAATTTTTGAAAACTAAATATGAACCATTTGAAAGATTGTAACATTAACTTTGCAATGATACCAACATTATTAAGGTTAAAAGCCTTTTGAAACCTAATTCGCTCAGCTTCTTTAAAAGATCTAATTTTTCGCACCGCGACCTCTTAAATCTTAACATTTTTCCTCGCTCGCTTCGCTCGCTCGCAAACAAAGTTTTAGACAATCAAACCCAACTGCAAATCATGATGCTTCAGCAATATCTTGTATGGTGTAAAAGTGAAACAAAATGAATCATCCCTGATAATTGTAATCACAATGTAGGGGTTTATACCCATGTCTAAAAAATTGTATATTTTCGCTGTGAGATTTTCTTTTTTAGGTGCCCTTTTTTCCCAGAAAGTGCCCTTTTTCTTGGTGCCCCCCCCCACTTTGGAAATCGCTCGGCTGCCCCTGACATAATGTGCGTGTGTGTGTGGGAGAGAGAGAGAGAGAGAGAGAGAGGGGAGGAGGGGGGAGGGGCAGTAACACTACCCAACGAGACTATAATCTTCTTATTACCATATTCCAGTGTTAAGATCTCTTTGTAAACAGAAAACCTAAAGGATGTCGACATCGTGAGAGCCAGAATCTCGTCATCTGATCATCTGTTCGATGAGATCCAGGATCTTGCCCTCTTATATCTGAGTGGCACTTTTAAGCTTTCACAGTCTTGCGCATCTTTTAAAACATTTTTTTTTCGAACATTGCATTAAGTCATGTGACATTTTGTCTTTGCATGTCAGCCCCCAAATCGCTATTTGTTGTTGTTTGTGTAATTATTCAAAATGGTGTAAAGAATATATGAAGTGAAAACGAATGTTTCAATATGAAGAATATACAATTTATGGGTAAAAATGTGAATTGTACGACCTCGTTTGCATAAATTACCATAAATATGCAAATGAGTGAATTTTCCAAAACTTGAAATTACCAGTTTGTATTTTATTTTGGCGGCGATCGGCCTTTTCATGGCCGAGGTCTAAGGAGGGTGGGTGGGGGGGGGGGGGCATTGCTAGAGGTTGCATGATATAATCAATATATATTATAATTGCATTGAGAACGAAGCGGATATCTTACTGAACACATAAATGCTGCAAATTCTATTCACATATGAAATTATATGGACGCTCTTGTGATATGCAATAAATTGTTCATTTTATAATATTAGTATCAATTATAGCCTCTTTTTACTTCACGACGAAGAAATTCGAACGATAAATTTAGAGAACATGAGAGAAAGGTAGAATAAATGCAACAAGAATGGTAGGTCTGAGAAAAGAGTAGTCCAGAATCTGGCCAGTTCTTTATATTCCCTGCCTACACAATCATTTGATTCAAACCGCCGAAGATGGCGTTATCAACGAACCCATAATTATGCTCTAACCAGCCCAGCCTGAGAATATTTGTTTCGCCGGGCGTCCTAATTTAATATCTTCGGCTGCTAAGGGGAAGTAGCGTTTGTGTGGTGGGGATCAAAATTAAATAGGCCAGATTCTGGACTAAGGAAAATGGAGCAATAAGCAATGAGAGGGATAAGAGAAAATAAATGGGGGAGAGACAGAAAGAGAGTGGGAGAGGGCGAAATTCGATGGAGAGGGAAAGAGAGAGAGGGAGAGAGAGAGAGGGGGGGGGGGTAATAGAACTTTTTACATATTTTATGCAGACCTTTGAAATGAAGATTCTCTTGACGACTAAACAGCTCGCCAAACATTACCCCAGATATTTCGTGAATAAAGGTGTATGCCTCACAAAAGTTTGGGTAACCTGACCATGTGATTCAAAGTACGCCTCATAAAGCTAGTGTCCTACTTATTCCACTGAATTTCTGCTTAGTACTCTTTTTATTTTCAATTGACCCCATAACAATGCTCAAAATTGGCAAGCATTATTATCAGAGCTACCAAGTGTCACGCATTAGGCGTGACGTCACGCATTTGGAGGGTCGGAAAACGGCTCTCATGCACGGCGCGCGCGCTAGATTAAAAAAAAAAACGCCATACCTATACGTGTGTTATACCCTCGCACGCGCGCTCGCGCGCCGAAAAATGAAAATGTCACGCATTGTCGATCTTTTACCTTGGCGTCTCTGTATTATGTCCAATAATCACACTGAACAATATCACATTCACAAGAGGTATGAATAATTAAGTTGTTGACTGTATGTCCACTACCATAAGCATTGAAATCTCTCATCTCTAGCAAGGCAATGCAGTTTAAAGAGAAAGTTGAGTTCTGGGAAGAGGTGAAAATAATTTGTGAGCATTACTCATTCTTATTATGCAAGTGTGGAAGAACATCAGTTAAGACATATTTCCTGAAAAGCATGGCTCTTCAAATGCCGTCATATTCTAAATATGAATGTAACATCGTAAAAATCGGGGGGGGGGCGGCTTTTTACGCCACGTGTTCGTGTAGTCACATATACATCTTTCTGTGCAAGTGTTTGTAACTTTACCAAGACTTGGCCACATTTCTTATCATTTTGATGATTCCAGAACCTTGCAAAACACACAAATTCTTATATGCTAGATGATCAACCTTTTCTGGTCGGTTCCACACCGTTTCTTTCACAATGCAATCGCATGACCAGAACTTAACTTCATCTTTAATACAAGACCGTTTGAAGATAAGCTTGAGTAGTGGTAATTATATAAAATAAATTCTCACATAATCCAACAAAACTTACACTGAATGTTCAAGATAATCAATTAATGACATGCACCAAACGATTTTGGTAGGAAATGTATAGGGGCTGAGTAGAGAGCTTAGAAGGAAATGGAAACCCTGGTAGAGAGGCTCAACACCATGTGCTTATGATGAGGAAATCCGTGTAAGTAGGCCCGGCACCAAGTGCTTATTTAAACACAGGTCCTTATGTGCAAATGAGAGTTGTGGGGGGGGGGGGGGGGTTGTAAAGATGATATCCAGCAATATTTTGTGAGGTTGTTTTTTTATCTTACGGGTTCAAACAATCAATCTACTTGGGCACAAACAATCAAGAACGAAAAAAATAAAGCCATGTTCTAGCCCTTAAGATAAATGTACATGTAGCTTTACAATTCAAATAACACAACAATGCCGAGAAAATACATTTTCAAGGAAAAATTTTATTGTACAGAATTAATCTCATATTACACTTGTACATAACACAACAACATAATGAGGGTTGTTGCAAGAGCATAAGTAATTAAAATTACAAGTGATGGTCAAGAATCTGTACTAAAAATAATCTCTTTAACAAAAATAAATACTGTGTGTACGTAGTTTATCAAGGTGGCAAGAATGCAATGATTTACAACAAAACTGAGGAATTGATGAATAAATGTGATTTAAATTATCCGTCCTTTAGCATTGTTGCAAATGCAGTGATCTAGCATTTTAAGGAATTACAAGTCTTGCTGACCATTTACCTCACCAGGTGGGTGTTCAACAAATATCTTGAGTCAAACTTAACTCTAAGTTGGACTTGAACATTATTGAGAGTCATTGGTAGCATTAAAATTAAACATGTTAAAAACATCAATTCAAGTAGTTTAGACTTTTCATAAATTCCACATCAAGAACATGAAATTTCCTTGATAATAGAAATTATGAATGATTTTAATCAACATGTTATGCCTTTTAAAAAAACTGTTACAAAATATTTTTTAAGATGCTTACTGCTTTCCATAGTTCTTAGGTCAAACGTAGAGTTAAATTCGACTTAGGATCTTTGTGAAACAACCCCCCCCCCCCCAGGGTGTAGAGAGGCAAACTCTGGATGCCCCTCAAGATCTTGACTACTTATCAATAACGAGATGCAATGATTGTTTAATGAGATACTGAAATCATTGCATTTGATTGGCTAAGAGATTGGTCATAGATCTGTGGCAGATGTTATTGATAACAAGTTTGATGAAACAGGGCCCTGACCTACTTCGGGTGAAATGTCGCCTCCTCTTTAGTGCACACAT